CTGATGGATCAGTCAAATACACTATGACTTCTATGAATGTCCCTGAACCAGTGATGTCATTAGCTGTTTCACCTGTTTCTAAAGACTCTGGTGGACAAGTGAGTGGTCATAGTAGAACCTGTTGTTCTGTTGGGTCTACAAGGCGTGCACTCTTTGCGATTGTTCTTTGAGCCTCTTATAATTGTTGTGTCTGTTTGGTTGGCAGTTTTCAAAAGCTTTGAATCGTTTTCAGAAGGAGGATCCTACATTCCGTGTGGGTTTAGATGCTGAGAGTGGTGAGGTATTTTTTGTCTACCCCAGATGGGGGCTCCATATTTTGAATGTTATGTTCATTATTGATCTTTATGGGGAGAATCCCTGAACATCTCAATGGTTTTCTGAGCAGACAATCATATCTGGCATGGGGGAGCTGCATCTGGACATATATGTTGAGCGCATCCGGAGAGAATATAAGGTTTATTTTTTTCCACAAATAGTCATGCTCTTTGGGTATCACGTTTGTTTGATCCTTTTCTTACTATCTCGTTGTTTCTTTAGGTTGAAGCTCAGGTTGGAAAGCCTCGTGTAAACTTCAGGGAAACCATCACTAAGCGAGCAGATTTTGATTATCTACACAAGAAGCAAAGTGGTGGGCAAGGTCAATATGGTAGAGTAATTGGGTAAGTGTAGACGTATATCATTTTGGCAAGTCCCTTTTGCTATTTCCTTAATTGCTTATCGCATGCAACTTAAAAGCGCCTATAAATAATTACCATTATTAAATGATGGGCAAGTAGAACGGGGAGAGCTAATGCTAGTTATATGATTTCCAACTGTCCTGCACCTTCCCTACTAATTACATGCCTGATGATTTCCATAGAATATTTGGTATCTTCTTTAGTGCCAGATCATAAAGTTGATTAGTTTTCTTTGGGTTGTGAGAAAAGAGTAGCAAAGGCAAACTTATCCCTTTTCTTTGTTTGCACAATGTTGGGCCTCAATTTATATTGTCCAATCATCAGATGTTCAATTCTGGGCTTCCTACGTTGGTGAAGGGAATTGACCATTGTCTCAGATGGTCTTTGATTAAGCGGCACCTCAAAGGCTAGTTTTTGGAGTTGAGTAAGGCCAAGATCCATGTTCTTCACGTGGTATCAGATGGAAATCATCTCTATTCTTGGTTTACCCACTGTTGGGTTCCCATGTGCTGTTGTCCTTGCTCCGTATGTCCATCCCCAATTGTGGAGTGGTATTTAGAATGTTCCATATTGATCAAGAGACTAAATTGCTCTCTTTATATTGTCTTGGGCAATCCTCATCTCAGGAGCCAGGTTCTAAAGTTAAGCCCGAGATCCATTTTCTTTGTGGTTGCAAATATGGCTCCTCATTTGTTCTAATGTCTTGACTTCGGCCGATTGCATCCCCCTGACAGAGTACTCTATATCTTGTAACCTAAACTAAATCCCCCTCTCTGCCCGTACCCCCCTCCCCCACAACAAAGCTCCGCTTTCTAGCTTAGGTTGTAAATCTATAATGCTTACAGTTGGCGGCTCAGTTACAGATTCCCATGCATAGGCTACTGTCTTAGGCTGGTATAATAGATCACAGCTTTAACTTTGAGGAGTAATTCAACATTGACCTCCATTAAATCTGCACTAAACAAGAGTATGTTAAATTGACTCTGAGGGAGTTGGTTTGGGAAGGTAAGTAAGCTGTTTATATTTTCATTATTCATTTTTGTGGCATTGTTGATATTCATGTTTCCTCAATGTGTTGTTTTCCACAGGTATGTTGAACCTCTTGAACCAGGGTCAGGCAGTAAGTTTGAATTTGAGAACATGCTTGTTGGACAAACTATTCCGTCAAACTATGTCCCTGCAATTGAAAAGGGTTTCAGGGAGGCTGCCAATTCGTAAGTTTTCTTTCTCTAGTTTCAAAGTATGACTTGCCTAGAGATTCTGAGATACACCTACTGCTTTTTCTTCAAGTCAAGAATCTTGCCTGTCTTGTTACTCTGTCCGTTTAAAAAAGAATGACCTCCTTTCCTTTTTAGTCTGTTTCAAAAAGAATGACCTCTTTCTTTTTTTGGTTACTTTCAGCTTTCCACGTGGCATGTTTAAGGCCACAAGATTAAAGGGCAATTTTGTACATTTGAAATAACTTTAATTTAGGACCACAAGATTCAAAGTCTTTTTTATTTTCTTAAACTCCGTGCCAAGTCAAACAAGGTCATTCTTTGTGAAACGGAGGGAGTATTGTATAGTAATTGCTTATGAACTATCAAAGCTTAGTCGATGCATGATTCAGTGGAGATTTGGTCATTGACTTGCTTGGACTAGTTTCTTTAGGTGTTTTTGATTTGATTAGAAATCTGGATCTTCCTGTGTTCCAGGGGTTCTCTGATTGGTCATCCTGTTGAAAATATCCGTGTTGTTTTGACGGATGGTGCCTCACATAATGTTGATTCAAGTGAACTTGCATTCAAATTAGCTTCTATTTATGCTTTTAGACAGGTAAGACATTCATCCTACTGACCGTAGACTATTTCTGTTATATTTGTTTGTACCTCCAACTTCCCAGCCTTCCTCTCTTTTCTTAGCTTGGTGAGCTTTATCTAAGTTGCCTATGCTTGCAGTGATTTTATGGTTGCTCACGTGTATCACTAATTTTATTGCAAAACAGTGTTATACTGCGGCCAAGCCTATCATTTTAGAACCTGTGATGCTGGTGGATATAAAAGTGCCAACAGAATTTCAGGGCACTGTTACTGGGGATATCAATAAGTAATCCTTTTGAGTTCTTTTTGAGACCTTGTTATTGAGATTTGAGAATGTGATTTATGCTTTTCTAACCCCTTCTTTTTCTTGTTTTCACAGGAGGAAAGGTGTCATAATCGGCAATGACCAGGAAGGAGATGACTCTGTAATTACTGCCAATGTATGTCTATCATTCTTTGCTCTTTCAGCTGTATTTAGAATTGATTCTAGTGCCTGTTGCTGTCAGCATGTATTGCTGTTTATATACATGTTCTCTATCCTCTCTTTCTATATTCTGTTCGGATGACTTTATGCGATGTAATTATAGAAAAACCACTTCCGAGTACAGCTCCAGCAATCAATTGTTCATTCCTTTTTTAGGTACAGAAGTGGCTTACAAAATTGGTAGTAATGCATCTTCTACTTGTTTGTGTTGGGGCTTCTTAGTAGTAGTTTTTGGGCACGCGTGTCACAAGGCGTGTGTCTGACACTTGGTAATCATAGTTTAACTCTCGCATAATACATAAACACGACTCTTAACTTGGCGCCAGCTGGCAACTATGACCTTTAACTTTGGGTGTGCATAAGTAAACACTTAAACTTGTATAAAATTGAATAAATGAATACAATCGTCCTACATGGCAATTTTATAACCTACATGGCATCCTATGTGTCTTATGCCGTGTAGGACACGTGTGTCTACTTGTTCAATTTATACAAGTTTAAATGCCTACTTGTGCACACTCAAAGTTGGAGGGCATAGTTATCCGTTGAAGACAAGTTAAAGGTCATGTTTATATATTATGCCTTTAACTTTTATTATTGTGGTTGACTTCTTTCTTTTTTACCTACTGCCCTATCAGATTTTGTTGTACTTCCCAGTGATATTTATTATAGCTTTCAAGTATGTGTGACAAAGTTGTGTAAGGAAAGATAGAATAGTTATGAGAAATTGTTTCCATGTAGATTAGTGTTCTTCATGTTTTACTTGCATATGCTTGTATATTTTGAGACTGATGCGCAATAATTGCTAATTTACATGGCTTGTAAGGGACAAAGGAAAAATTCTTTCTTGATTTCTTTCAGCCTTGGAACAGTATGCATTTATCCTGAAAGTATTATTACATTAGTTATGAGTATCTCATTTCTGTCTTCTGAGAGCTGAGGTTATACTATTTATTTCTCAGGTTCCTCTCAACATGATGTTTGGGTACTCAACATCTCTTCGATCAATGACACAGGTCAGTAATTTTGTTTCCAGTTCCTCAACAGAACTTTTTTATCAAATCAAGGGAGAGGAAGGACGTAGGTGATTCCAATTTTTTTTAAAGCTTTTGGACATAGTAGGAGTGAAAGGAAGGCAGGAGAAAAATGATGGATAATGCCATAAACAATTTTAATTTTGTCATACAAGTGAGTGGAAACCTAAAAAAAAGTAACACGTTCTGAAGACGCTTTTATGATGCCACAAAGACACAAGGCTTACTAGTAGAAAAATATGTCATTAAGGTGTTAAGGTGAAGTGAGACACATTCTTTCCTTTTCTTTAATATCAAATCACAAATTAAAGTTATTCATCTCCTCTAACTTTGTTTCTTTTCCTTTTCCCCTAATCATGCGTATAATGCATAGGGAGAAATATGTGATACCAACCTCTGTGCTCTGTTTGTTTAGTGAATTTCAGTGATATAAATCATTGTTTTGTTTCATGCAGGGGAAAGGTGAGTTCACAATGGAATACAGAGAGCATGCCCCAGTTTCAGGAGATACGCAAACGCAACTTGTTAACGCATACAAGGCCAGCAAAGAAAGTTGAAAAGATGGTGTGCCTTTGAAGCTCCTGCAACTACATCCTGTTAAATTATTTTTTTTTATGAATTTGTCTCCTTGGGTGGGAGCAATGTTGTGAAATCCTTAGGACCAGAATTGGTCAGTCAATTTTGATATGCTGAATAAAACAATAACATTCCATAATGTATACAAATAATTGCTTATATACATACATGTAGGTTGTGTATTCCCGTTGAAAGGATTACAGAGTGCAGTTTGAGAGGTTTAATGATATGTTGAAAAGCGAAAAGCTAACCATCTTCCCACCCCAAACACAGAAGAAATAGACAAAAGTACTGACTTGAATTTACCTGTACCTCCCACTATTCATGGTGTCCCACTTCTAAAAGAGTTTAATTTCTTGATATTGACAGCATAATTCTTTTATATCATACAATGATGACGGTATATATTTTCATTTGTATCATATAGAATAACTGAATATATATTTTTGTAATACTATCGATGTATACAAGGTAAATTACTCCGAGAATCTGCTAAGACAAGAAGATGAAAAAAAGAATAAGCAGTCATATCATTTGTGCGATTTGCCAAGGCATATCATTGGTTTTTTTCAATATAGAAAAGAACATATTTGCAAATGCAACTATATCAAGACTGAATTGCTCAGTTTTTGTAATGTGAAGAAAAGACAACTGATATTCACATATTTTCTTTCTCATTTTCCTATTTTCTTCTGTTATCTTCAAAGTTGAAAAGTTTCCCTACCCAAAAGTTATGTAAATGCTTCTCGCTGTTGTGTTGGTAGCTCCAGTTCAGGCTCAAATGCTGTTAGCGGAGAAAAGTACTGATCTACCATGTCATTGGTTACTTTTTCCAAGGTTGGAGGATTCCACTGCACGTTTTAACATAAATCAAGAAACGCTCTCCAAGGTTAAAGGACATTGTTAGGAAAATTTCACTGGAAAGAGGATCATTATTCACTAAAATAACATGTTGGTTTACCTTAGGTGCAAGATCTCTATCCACAAGCCGTGCACGAACCCCCTGATAAGAAGATATTATAAATGCACAGTGATGATCATCCACGGATGTAAAACTGAGATTGTTTATTTTGCAAAGATATATTACCTCACAGAAGTCACTAGTTATTTGTCCAGATAAAGCTTGTACTGACATTCGATACTCACGCCTTAGGCACTGGTCCAGAGTTTGATGTCTACCTTCGCGGATCTGAGAGTAGGCATTAGTAGATGGTCATCTCACAATGCCCTGGTGGCTGGAAGAGAGAATATTCTATCTGGAAAAAAAAGAATTACAACTTACAGATCTCAGTGAAACCTTCAAACTCAGTGGGGATGTTTCTTGTAGTTTTCTCAATGTTGCAACACACCATGCATCTTGCTTGGCTGCCTCGCTCTCCTGACATTAGTAAAGTTTCTTTTTAGAAATGTAATCACACCTGTGATTAAAAACTCACACGTATAGCAGATTTCAATGACTCAGCTTGTACAATTGTCAAAAAAGTGCATCACGGGAAGGCCTCTCCATGCATTTTAGCATATGGGAAATTAAAATCTCCACAATGTACTTTCTCCAAAGAAATGATTGATACAATTTAGTGTGACAACAGCACTTGGATCTATATGCACTTTTAGAACCTCAGGGAGCAAGCAAAGAGTAGGCTGAACAATGGTCCTCGTTTTTTTCCAGATTTTTCACGAGTGGAAACTTGTGAAGGCAAAGATATCAAAAGCAAAGCAATCAGATGCTGAACGTTATTGTATTGATCAGTTCAATTATGTTTCTACAACCACCCAAGGGTGTAGCCTAACAGTCGAAGAAGTGTATGATAACATGGAAGATCAGGCTTCAAATCCTGCAGACAGAGAAAAAGTTAAGTGATTTGGGAGCTAGAGTTACCCAATACTTGTGTTGGTGCGAGATACCAGGTATCTGGTGAAATAATCAATATGAGAGCACATTTGCCCAAATACCACCGTTATTTTAAAGAATTATGATTCTACTGTTCACATTGTGATTGTATGTCCATCCAATAAAGTTTCTTATTCGGTAATAGCCTTCACACCCCAGTCTAGATGGAATTAAGATATGTTGTTCTAGAGTTAGAGATGCTTCATCCACTTCTAATATGAACATATCATGTTACTGGAGTCGAACATGGTCATCACATATGTTGGCAATAGCTGCCACCTTTTCAGTACCACATGTTTAGTTCCTGTTCTTTCTTTTCCCATCAGAGATATTAAACAAATTAAAATCAATCAATGTACAGAACTTTGTATCATTCAGAGACCTTCGCAGCATAAGGAAAACACGGATACACACACAGAGGAACTATATGCTCACCAATGCATCAATAATTTCTTCGACTGTGTCATGGCTGAAACATTTATCAAGAGTTTCAATCCTAAAGAAAGAGAAAGATGGATTAGTTTAAGCTATCAAAATACAGATTGATCTGCAAGCAAGATCACACACAACTCAATAAGAAAATAATATTATTATTTTTTTGAGAACAAAAGGCTAAAGAACAAGACTAAATACAAAGACCAAAAGATCCATGCGGAACCATGAAAAAAGTTATCAGGCGCCACAAAGTTTCCATACGTAATGTTATGTTTCAGAGAGCTGAAATTTTGCTCCACCTGTTGATGCATTCTATACAACTCAAGGGCAAGTTGGTGATACGACCAGTTTCTCTATAAAGAAAAAAATAACAATTTCTGGCACTTGAAACCTATGCGAAGTTTAATTTGAAGAGCTAGTTGCAGGATTTTCTCTGTTTAAAAAATTAAACAATTTGCCAGAAATTACCAATTTGATTCCTAGAAGAAAAAAAAAATTGACTTGCAATCCTTTCTTTTTGACTAGCATAAAATATGTTACAAGAAATGATTGCAAGTTTCTCATCCAATCAAACCTATGACTTGTTTTCATACAGCAAGCAAAATGATGATGCAAGGCTGCAGCCAAGGGATCGTTTCTATGTCTGATAAGAAATATGAGGGTATTCCCTGAAGATGTAGGTTTTTTTGGAGTCAACTGACTGGAGCAATACATGCTTGATTAACAACTAGAAAAGGTGCTTCAAATCCGAAAGCATCCCATAACATAAAACGGTAATCCGTATCAATCCACTCCTTTAACACTTAATGAGAACCAACATATTTTCGACATTCATTTTACATGTTTATCCAGGATGACAGGTACCTGTGAAGTATACTCGCCGGATCTGGATGGACAATCTCTCCCCAATTTTCAAGAGATCTTTCAATCACTGAGGGATCATCAGTAATCAACGTTCCAAGTTGTTCCTCAATTAAGGGAATTTTCTGAGATGAATAGAGAGGGCAGATAAGCAGTTTCCAGAACTATTGTCAAATAACCCAAGTAGGCTGTTGGTACCAAGGTGCAAAACAAATTAAGCACAGAACTTACTGCACTGTGTGAGTAGTGTGTAGCAAGCCCACAGGAAATCATTTCTGCTCCACTGATCTTATCTCCAGTTAGGGCCAGGTATTCTCCTGCAAATCAAAATCATTTTGTTATCCTACATGATCTAGCGACTAGCATGTTGACTTATCAGTTATCAGTGATATCTACAAATAAAAGGCCTTGTAATTTTAGTCCGAAACCATGTAAAGATAATAAATAAACAAATATAGGGAGCCACATATTAACATCATGGTACGAAGTTAAATGCAAAAAAGGGCAGTTCAGACAAATACTGAACAGAAGAAAGCACAAGTGAAGAAAGGCCAGACACTATCTCGTGGGTACACTCTGAGGATGGAAGATTCACAGTTAACAAGCTCTATAAGAAGGAAATGGGAACTCAACAAGGCCTCAGATTGGCTAGATGGAAATATGTATGGACAAGCCAAGCACCAACCAAGATCAAATGTTTTGTATGGTTGGTAGCTAAGAGGGCTTGCCTGACACAGGAGGTACTGCAGAGGAAAGGTGTACAACTAGTACCAAGGTGTTTTCTATGCAATGAGACAAATGAGACCAACAGCTATCTTTTTCTACACTGTAGAGTCACAGGTCAACTATGGTCTCTGTTTTTGAGGCTCACTGGTAACAGCTGGACGATGCCAGAACATACTGCTGACCTGTTGAGTTGCTGGATCAGGAGAGGAGGCAGTAAAAGCCAAAGAAAGTGGTGGAGAATTATTCCAGCTTGCATATGGTGGTCAGTACGGAAGGAAAGAAATGGAAGATGCTATGAGAACAAATCAAACTCCATAAAGAAAGTCAAAGAAAATTGCATTGCATATTTGTATTTTTGGTGTAAACAGGAATGTATAGAGGAGGTAGAGCAACTAGTAGATATGTTAGGATCTTTGTAATTAGCCTTCCTAGCCCCTCTATGTACGAATTTTTGGAGGTCACCAGCATATCCTTAATGCTGAGGAATACAACATTACTAATTTCAAAAAAAAGAAAAAAAGAAAAAAAGAAAGCACAAGTGAAGAGTCGTAATATCCAAAATACATGAAGCAGGGGGAGGCACACAAGCTTACTGCCCAAGGAGATTGGGAAAAGTAAGATGAAATAAAAAGAACATCACGCCTAATGCAGATAATTTGATAACAAATATATAAGGAAATCGTCCAGATATTGACATGTTTATTTTCCTCATAGAAAATGGGCATCTCCTACATGTAAACTCTACCCTAAACTAAGAAAGAATTTGAGATTGAGGAAGAAGGTGTGTGTAGGGAGGGGATCAGAAAAGTAGTTCTAAATTAGATAATTCATCATCAAAGGCGCTCAGCTATATGACCTGATAGAAGTTACTGATGAATCCAAACCACAACATGAGATCAGCAAAAGAATTTACCCAAATAACCAGGGAGGCGAGAAAGGTAAAATGATGCCCCAGCATCAGGATGGTAACCAATCAATGTTTCTGGTGTGGCAAAAACCTACATGATGCAACACCAAATACCCTATAAGAACTGTGAAAAATCAATAACTTACAGCACTTGAAAGTTGAAACACCTAAATTATCACCTAGCACTGTCCAAATTTAATAGACCTCTTAGACTTTTGAGTTCAATAAAAAAATTCTTTGACTAATTTACCTGCACGTTCATTTAGTTCTTGAGAAAATAAAAATCAGATTATAACCTTGCAATAAGACCAAGATATCTAATGGTTTCTGGCCTTTAAAAACGCTAAGTCTGTCGTTATAAATCACATATAATGGAAATAAACAAGCTTCTTCAGAAGGAGTCAAAAGATTTCATAATAAACAAGCATAATTACTATTTCACTTTTTGGTATAAGAGAAAGTTCATCAATATAGAGCCTTTAATATATGAAGAGTAAACAATGAATTTTATAAAATGAACTCAGTATTAACTCCCGAATAGATTATAGCTAATAACAGAGAAGCAGCCAAAACAATCAATGAAGGGGAGAAAAAAGAGAAGAGCCAAAGGAGAAGTTCGCGGTATAAGTTTGTTGCACTAGGATTCGAACTTCTCCCTTAAGAAACCAAATACAGATATAAATGAAGCCTAAAATAAAGCGGTAGCACATAAACTGGCTGAAACCTTGACCATCTAAATGCTGGGATGCAGCATAATGTCTTTGCCTCAAAAACTACAATAATAAGGAACTGAACCTGAGATCAATCATAAAGGAAATGCAATTTTATGCTTCATTTCCGCCCGTATGAAGTATATCCTAATATGGTTTCTAAGTTTCTCACCCCATTCCCACCTGAAAGACTACCTATTTGTTCATTTACCGGGTTTAGTACGAAATCATAAATAAGTTCTCAAGGCAGATTTTCTATTCAATTTGTACTGTAAATGACAAGTATTGAGGAATGATTAAAATATAAATCTCATCAGGTCAGCCTTCATTGCACGTCTCTCCCCTATCTTTGATCCTAAGGTGTCACATCCAATCGATGAGTTTCTACAGAATGAATCAGATTCTTGATAAAATCTTTCTTTGACCTATCATTATAGAAACCATCCATTCAAGCCATCACATTCCTTTTTCTTTGTTTCTTGATTGGGGATCAGACTACAGTCTCAAAAAGGACTTTCAAGGACTACACTGCCCCTTTCTCTAACTTCTCTTCTTTTATCCGTCAATGAAGCAGTAAAAAGAGAGGAAATAGAATAAAATAGTCTACCTCATTTTTTCCCCATTCCCCCCATCTCTCGAAAGGGATACAAGTGTTAATGTTTCTTCTACATGACTATTCCACCTTTGTCACCTTCAGGATACCAAGGAACCAGTAGCAGCCTTGAGAGAAAAGGAGAATAACTTTTTCTTTCTTCTCCAGTACTGAACAGTCGACATGATTCAATTCTCTCAAGCAGGTACAATCCTGATTCATTCCCATTAATAGAATTATTCTAATGAGAATGGGAATGGAAAGCAAGAGATGCAGTTCTTGGGCTCGGAAATAGCTGTTCAGGTCTAATAAAGCTTATGACCATTCACGACCACTCCAAAGTCTTCAGGCATTCATGTGTAGATTCTGCCCTTTATCAAAAAATTAGAATTTTACAAGAAGTAGAAAGCAGAGAAGGATTTTAGTTCCAGGAGGAGAAAGTATGATTTTTAAGGAAAAAGGAGTCACTACTTGTATCCAGAGAACATGCTTGCACTTTATCTCATACAGTATAGAACCATCGACATACAACTTATAATTTTTAAATAGAAGAACATAAAGTTCATGATACGTGAAATCACTACACAGATATAAGAATGAACACAAATGAAACTTAACATTGCTTAGAAATGTAGTCTAGAAATTCTTGGACTAGGAGAATTAATTTTGAACCAACAAAGTAAAAGCTAAAACAAATAAAACTTGACTAGTCTTTTCCATACAGTTTTTTCAGTTGCGACGCGGAAAGTTCCGGGAATTGAGATGCCAGCCCCACCACCCATGGTAACTCCATTCAAAAGAGCAACCTACATGGTTTCGAAATAGTGTCCAGTGACCAGTTAATGTCAACAAAAGTATGATAAGTAAAGAATATGCAATACTCCTAAGTTCTAACACAGAATTGAGGAGGCAAGAAAGCAAAGTAACCCAAATCAGAAAGTGTGTACGAGCTTCTAATCAATAGAAAGATATTAAGAGACAAAGATAATACTCCTAACTACTATCAAATGCACTCCAGAATTCTAGACTGGAAAATGATGTTTCAAGCATTTTTGAAGAAACAACTCTATGATTAACAACAGAAAAAAAGAAAAAAAAGATGTTATAGCGAAGCTGAAAATATCTTGTGGAGTTGAATATCTACAACAATTGGATCAAATCAGCATTTATCCTAGGGTAGAGTCAAATATAATGTGACAAATTACATTTCCTTCAACAGGCACAGTTAGGAAGATTCTATAGCAGTTGGCATAAATAAAGTAACTGTGTTCCTATTTTGACTCTAAATATAAGATTCATCAAACTTTGGCAAGACACATCTAACTCACTGAACACCTTTTTAATCAGAAAGTGGTTGGTGTAATTAACCGTTAAAGTGTTGTCTCTGAGCATCTTAACCACAGTAAGATGGGAGAGAATCTAATTAACGGAACTGAGCTATCTGCTAAAGATCTAGATTGTTCCTCTAAATAGTATCCTTAAAACTGCCTGCCAAAAGTACAAAGGTCTCAACATAACAGTAAAAATTGGATTCTCATGCTTAAAGAAGCGGAAGCAGTAACCAAGCCAATATCGGGCCAAGGGTAGCACAAACGGCAAAGCCACTAATGTCATGGTGAAGGAGGTCTCTAGCATACGTATACTAAATTACTAACCGGTGAAATACCAAACCACAAACTTTTCAGTGTACTATTGAAGCTATCAGTGTGATGATCAAACAAGTACCAATGGCTTTCAGTACACTTCTTTCATTTCCAAATTAGTTAGCGACAAATCTACCATTAGTATGAGTATGTTGATAGTGTAGGGCGATCCATCCTTGATGATTCTCCGCCTAATGGAACTTCTACATTTTAGAAACTCTTAGGTTCCAATATAGCATAAATTTGTGATGTGTAAGTCTGGATGCAGTTAGAACTTATAAGGCACTGGACTGTATCAAAGACTAGTTAATACAAAATAAGCTCTTGATACTTATATAATGGGAGAAACAAAAGAAATTCAAGACAACAGCTTCATTTAGTATCTGATGTTTGAAGAATGATTATACTTACATGTGGCTTCAAGTATGTGCCAATAACATATACTAAGCTATACATTGTCCAACAGAATTCTTTACAGTCTTGAAAATTCCCTGCATCCATCCAATACAAACAATATTAAACAAAGGCTGGAGAAGATTAAATTACAAATTGAGCTAAAAGAAGATTGGCAGCAATAGTTAAGACACTTGCTGCAGTTTCTATATATGATCAACCAGAATCATCTTAATTTTTCCTACTCAGAACATTCTGCTCAACTAGATATCACTTGCAATGTAGCAGAATATGAACAAAATCATTGTGAATTACGAGTTAATATCTCAACACTCACCTTTGGAAATTTATCTAGCAAAGTATTGAACTTTGTTTTGTATTAATAGAACACTCAACTTAGACCTTTCTATCAATAAAATCACTCAACTTAGGCTTTTGTATCAATAAAATCACTCAACTAATTTAGATCTGCTTATAAATTTCAATCTGCAGACTTAAGTAGGGGTAAACTTCATTTATGTATACATTGCATAAAAAATAATTTATCTTGTCATGTCAATCTTTTTAACTGATAAATTTAAATTGAGTGATGTATTGATAGAAAGGCGGATACAAAACAAAGTTCAATAACTTTGCTAGATAAGTTCTCAAAGTTGAGTGACGTTTTGAGATATTAAAATGTGAATTACAGCAGTCAAAATTATGCACTGTACCTTGTTTTAGCAAATTATAAAGAGAGACAATGTCACCCCCAGCAGAAAATGCCCTGTCATTTCCCTTCAAAGATAAAAGAATAACTCAGTACTACTCAATCGACCAACATATATGTAAATTCACCTTAAAATAACCTTGCAAAACAATAATAGGCAGAGCAATATAAAAGCAATTTTTTATTTTGTCAATAAAACATAAGTTAAAACAGTGATTTACTCAACAGATTACCTTCAATACCACGAATCCAATATCAGGATCATCCTCCCAACTTTTGTACAGCTTCATCAACCTTGACCCCTGAAGCCAAAACAAGAGCCAATTCAACATAAAAACACGATTTCCTTTGGTGGGTATAAATCAAAAATCCAAAAAGAGAGCTACAGATTACCAAAATGGTGAAAAAGAAGCAAAAAGTAGAAGGGCAAGAAACTAACAATTGAATAATTGATGGCATTTAACACATGGGGTCTGTTAAGAATTGCTGTTCTTGAAGAAGCTTTCCCCTCCACTAAAACCTGAGAAATGCAACCCATATAATCATTATTACAATATAAATAAAATGAGGTTTTTCATTATAGAATCTTAAATGGGCTCACTGTGCTTTCGGGTTCATCGATTATGACATGGCTAGAAACACCGCAAAAGCTTCTGGACTGAGAAACCAACCGGGATTTCTGCAGAAAACGCCTCAAAATAGATGTTGATTTGAAGCTCTGCATATTTCTGTTAACCAAATGTAAAGTTTAAATCTTTATCTTCCTTACTTTACTTATACAAAAGCAGCAAAATTAAGAGCTTAAGAATCACAGATTTCTTTTGACATGCGGCAGGGCTCACATTTTTTGTATTTGTCCAATTATGAGTATTAATAGGCTAAATCCCACCTTTCTTTTACGTTAATCCTATCAGTTTCCTAGCATGTGTGCTAGCTATTAATTACTCTATCTGTTTTAATTTATTTGTATGATTTTAATTTAATACGAAATAAAAAAAATTGAATTTTATTACTTAAATTAAAAATGTGTAGAATTTATTGTTATTACGGCTTATTTGGATGATTGTTATCGATTCTTTTAAATACAATATTTATTTTTAATATTATTTCAAGTTTATTGTATCTTATCGTTAAATTCTCATTCTGGTGTAACCATTGATTTGATTACGTTGTTGTCCTTTTTTTTAAAAAAAAACTTTACTTATTACTATATTTAATTTAATAATCTATATTTTTATGATAGTTTTATCTTATACTCTACTTTTTCGGTATATTTATTCTTTAAATTATTAATGTGTCACACCATATAACGATAGAAAATACTATAATCTATTTAAACATTATATTTTTACATATTATAATATAATAAATAATCACCAAGCAGAATGTTATATGATTCATGAAAATTTGAAATTAAACAATTCACAAGAAAAAATAATAATAATATATATATATATATATATTTAATGAAATAAAAAAATATAAATAAATAAATTAAAACGAAAGCACAATTTTTCTTTTTATTCCTTTGGCAACTGCCAAGTGCCACATTTGTTATATTGACAAGGGATCCGTTTTGACAATTGCTTCTAGAGTTTTGACAAGGTACTCCAACCCCTTTACATTGAATGCAGTGCTAATTTCACTTTTGTACCTAAACTTTACCAACTTTATAGGTGGCATTAATATCCCAAATAATTAAGAAAAAATCTTCACACCAATTTCCAATTAACAGATAAGGTACATATTTAACTGATCGATTAAATAATTATATTTTTGCTTATTAAATATATAAAAGATATACCATATATATATATAATTTTTATTTTGATAAATAATTATTTATTTTAAAATAGCAGAAGAAATTACTTATGACATGAGTGTGTGAGTCAGCTTCATTGTATATTAGCCATCATCATACGGACGAAAATTCTTCCGTGACGGAACTTCTAAGGAATATTCCTTTTTCTTTCTTTGGAGATAATATTTTTTTAAAAAAAATCTTTTTATCACGTTTTTTTTTTATATATATTGCTAAATCAGTGATGGAATTACCCATTTTGGCAAAAAATAAAAATGAAAAATGTATAAGAATGTCACACCTATAATTTGTGATCAAATTTATATAATATAATATCTTAATATACTCCATTTGTTCCAAAATTAGTTATTAGGTTTCCTTTTAAAAAGTCAATTTCATTCATTTTCAAAGATCATTTAGATTAGACAATATTTTATATTTAAAAGTTAGATATTCAAAAATTATATAATAAATAGTATTACTTTCGTTTTAATTTATTTGTCTTATTTTGATTTGACACAAAGTAATTAAGTAATTAAATAAGACTTTTAAATTTGTATAGTCTTAAATTAAAGATATGTTATATGTACCAAAAAATGTCATTTAATCTTGTAATCTTGTAATCTTGAACAAAAAAGGAATGAAAGAGTTACTAAAAAAGAAAAGATGCATTTTTTAAAACAAATTAAAAAGGAAAATTAAACAAATAAATTAAAACAAAGAGAATACAAATTGTAAATTTTCCTATGTTAATATCTTGATACGATGAAAAAACATATTTTAAAATAATAATTAAAATTTATATAATCTAATTCTTATTAAGTGAAATATGACAAATAATATGAGATAAAGCAAGTATATATATATAAACGTTATTCTGATCTCATTTTGTCTTACGTGGAGGTGAGGTGATACTTGATATATTAGTATCAACTTTCAAATCCAAATATCGTTGTTATCTCGTACACTAACCTTTTTTTGTTTCTCTTCCAGTGTTTGAAGCTCACATTAGAGCTTCGACTAAATTTGGATAGCACACTGCAGGATCCATTCGAAGTGGCGCTCCCAACAAGATTTTCTCCGGACTCGAACTCAAGACCTCGTTTCATTTATTTTCATTAATAAATGAAAGTTGCACATTAATGGAATTAACTGTTATTTTTTTAATTATGTTTAGGCTATATACTAGCTAGTAAGATCATGGCCCGATGTCTATCTTGAGCCAATAATTAACGTGTTATATTGGAGGTATTGAGACCAATAAACAGTAGCCAGAAGAAAAATACTTTTTGTGAGAAACAATTCATGCTTGGAAAATAAATTTAAAAAGTATTTTTGAGTAGTAATTAATCAAGTTTTTAAAAAGTATTTTTAAGTGTATATTTTTTAAAAGTAATTTATTTTTTTAGCTTCTGAAAAACAATTTATGTTACTCCCCCAAATATTTATTTTCTCTCAAAACTTGAACAAACACTGAACTTTTTAAAAAATAAATAATTTTAGCTTCTCGAAAATTTGATCAAACAAATTATAAATCTTAGTATTAAAATATGATTAACCCATCCAACTTAAACGTATGTTTAGACTTTGGCTACTTCCCACAATCCACATCCTAGATAAGGTGGGGCAAATTTAATTCAATTTTATAATTTATTTCGGTAACGTTGAAATTATGTTTTTTTTTTTATTAATCTTTTGGACGTGCATGAATTGCGCCACTTTACCGCATTTCATGGATTTTAAATTTTTGTTAATTTAAATATTTACGCAAAGAGAAAAAAGTTTTAGATTTACCTTTTAAACTCTGTCAAATGGTTTAACTTTGTCCTCCGTTCAAAATATTACTTATCCTTAATTTGTTAATTAAAATATTTGTATGAAGAGAAAAAATCATTTATTTTTTTAGAAAAAACATTTTCCACCATATTGAACAGACAGACACCTGCATGGTGGTCAGGGTGTCCTTTTTTTTTTTTTTTAATATGTGGTCATGGTGTCCAATTTTGACACCCTTTGTCGGAATAAAATATCATTTATACAAGTAAAATGAGATACGAAATAATTAAATAACATATTTTGGACACTCTTAACACAACAAATTATTGTAGCCCGATAATTTCAAATATTTGTAATGAGATAGTACTTACGTTTTTGAATCTCACTAATTTTACTTTTTGAAAAGAGCTTTTGTCATGCCTAAAAGTTCTTCAGTTTGATAAACAAGAAGGACTATTAGCACTTCACGAATCAAACAAGGATGAATTTATATACAGGCCCAAAAATAAAGTACTAGTTTAGGTCTTCTTTACTTTGATGTATAAAGTAAAAGTAAAACCAAAAATATTATGCCGAATAGATCAATTTTTTTCTGAATTTGGCGAGTTTTATTCCGTGCATGTCTAAATCTTATGTTAGCTTAATTATCTTTTGAATTTGGTAATTTGATAGCTTCGATCTTTCTAGACGTTGTGGCAAAAAGCGTGAATATACTCTTTTTTAGTCACGTGAAAGAGGAGAAAAAATAAAAATTCAACTTTCAAGTAGGATATTTTTTAACTATTAATTGCCTCATAATTAATATAATGATTTATTTGTTCTAATGGTAATACTCTTGTTCTTTTAAAAAATATACATCGCATATTGTATCCTGGTTTTTTATTTAGATAAAATGATTATTTGTTTCAACTATATGTATATATTTTTTTTTTTGATCCAAATATTAGTTAAAAGTTTATTTATTTTAGACAAATTAAAAGGACATTTAACCAAATTAATGAAGTTCAAATGGTGTTTTTTAATAAAAAGAAAAAAATTGTGTATTATTTTTCAATGATTTTATATTTCAACTACGTATATTTTATTCTTCATTGGATATATAGTTATTGTTCTAAATATGTATATTTCTTTTCTTGGCCAAGTATATAGAAAGTAGGGAATTTGATTAGAATATCATTATCTTTAATTAAATAAAAAATTATAATCAAAATATTTATTTCAGACTTTTTTTTGTTTTACAGATTTTGGCCAAAGAAAAAAAGATGATTTTAAAAGATAAAACATAAATTTTATCTTTATAAAAATCTTACATGGACCAGAAAACTCACGTATCAGCGTATGTGTCACACTTTCATAAGTTTTCAGCATTCAAATAAGTCGTGACTATTTAAATTATCTATGTTCAGCGGATAATTAAGCTAACGTAAAGTTTTGAGGTTTTTGAATTTGATTTATTCAACTATTATTATCTAGTATAGTGCCAAGTCCATGAGGCATCAACTAACATGCAGCTTTTCATGTGACTACATTTTCTTTTGATGACTATTTATCTCCTTATAATTCTCCTTGAATTTCGATATTAACATCCTAAAATCCATATATATAACAATTTTAACATTCATCACAATATTCTAACTCACACTAAATCTACATTTTTTTTATTTTTTTTTCAACCATGGCAAAACAGCCCACTAGAGTTCTTGTCACTGGAGCTGCTGGTATAATTTTTTTTAAAAAAATTAACCATTATTATGTTCTAATTTTTTGGTATAATTGTATGAGGTTCTTTTCTTGACATGGATGAGTTACTATTCTATTTCATAGCTTGTGGATTTTGTCTTTGGTATTTGATTTGATTGGGTTAGTTAGGTGCCTTGTCTTTAAAGTCTTTTGGTTGTTCTTGTGTGAAATTTTCCTTTAAATTATGTATGTGGTATCATTTTAACAGTGTCTAATTTCAATTATTTGTGAATTTTCTTCTTAATTATAAAATTAATGGAATATTGGGGTTCAATTGAAAAGCCTATTGTTTTGTTGGGTTGTGCATATTTGTCATGGAAGATTGTTAGGCATATATGGAGCTTCTTGAATATAGAAAAGGATCCTATTACAGTGCTTGTTACTGGTGCTGCAGGCATGTTAAATTTATATTTCATTATGTTACTGCATTTATTTCTATTTTTTGTGAACTTTTTATTTGATTTATTCTGTCTTGGTGGCGGTGAGATTCAATTTCAGAAGTGTACTATCAGTGTAATCATCTCATCTAAAAGTTTAAGATGTTAGATCAACTTAGATT